AGGAAGAATTCTACCATCCCAATGAAAGGAATGTTAAGTCCATTTTTTTTTTTTTTTAATTTTAGTGCAATTTTCCTCCTTCTTTGGCTTTATCACCACCACTCCCTCTCCTCCTCATTCTACCCACATCAGTCCCCACCACAGCTCTCTATCGCCACCAAGGTAATCCATCTAAAACTACTTAATCCTTTATGGGGAGATACACATATTCACAAGCACACTCAAACTCATATACATACATGCATATAAAAGAGAGGACATTTTCTGAAAAATGGAGTATTTTTATACACTTTTCTGCATCTTGTTTCTTTTACAAAACAATTATTTCCTGGAAACCCCTCTATCTCACTAATAACATCTAATTCATCCTTCCTAATAGCTGCTGTCTTCCATGGTGTGGATGTATAATTTATTCAACCACTCCTCTCTAAACTGTGCTTTGTTTCCAGTTGTTTGACACTAAGAACAATGCTGCAATTAATTCAAGGCATCAGGAAATGCCAGTAGAGGAAATGTGTAACAGACACGTTGAGCTTCTTGGAGGAAGCTTGCAGGAAGGTTCCTTGTGTCTGGTCTTTCAGAATTCTCTCTTCCTCAGGCAGCAGTGAAAACTCAGGCCACTCATCTCCTTCTCAGACTCTTGGGAATCAGGGAAAACTGACCTATTGTAGTGGGGCCAATAACAAACTTCCCAACAGAAGCCCACAGATTTAAAAGCCAAGTCTCCCCAAGATCTGCTGCTCTCATCTTTTCTCCCAGGCTTCAACACGGGTTTGAGAGCATTTGCCAGCTTATGTATAGATTTCCTCTGCCAAGACCCCCACCAAAAAGCAAGGCCTCATCTGGGCCCAGCAGTGTGTGGATCCCAGCAGCCAAGTGGAGAAAGATGATCTAATGTTCTCAGACTCTGTTCCAAGTCCATGTACTAGTTCAAAGACCTGCTATGAAGCCTATCTGGAACGATGATTCCAAGCAAAGCTTGTTATACTGTATATTTAAAATATAAATGTGATGATGCAAAACCAGTTAATTAAAATCAGAGTAATGAACTGAAAAACTTAGTGGAAACCTACTCAGTTCCCTGACTTCCCCTCCAAGGTCAACTTAGGACAGGATTCTACGAGATAATCAGTATTAAATGGGCCCTGCTTCAGAACATTTCTATTGAAAATGGCTTTATAACTAACAAAAATTAAATCAAAGAATTTTCTCTTGGCTTCTACTACTGTTTCTAAAGTTCTTTATGGTGGCATGATTTCTATGCATCCAAGGATAAATATACCACTGATTCCAATTGTACTATTGTAAGAAGTATTTTGTAATTTTCATTCTTCTGTTTGAGTTCAAGATATATTCTTCTTACTCTTTTCTATTCAACTTCTGTACATATTTTGTGAATTTTAAAGTCTTTCATAAGCAGGCTACTTATAGAATACTGAGTCACTTTTAAGATAGTAAACCCGTTGCTGTCGAGTCGATTCCAACTCATAGTGACTGTACAGGATAGAACAGAGCTGCCCCATAGGGTTTCCAAAGAGCAGCTGGTGGATTCAAACTGCTGACCTTTTGGTTAGCACCTGAACTCTTAACCACTGTGCCACCATGTCTCCTTTAACACAGTTATCAGTTAGTAATTATCAAGCATCTAAGGATACTCAACTTTGCTGAAACTTGGCAGCTTAAATGTAATTTTACCATATACACATACCACCAGCATGCATAGAATGCCATCCCTAAAAATGTTCAACTATATTTAACTCACTGTAATACAGCATACTATTAATATACATATTCCCCATGCTGCTGAGTGCCCTCAAGCACCCTCAGCCAAGGAGAGTGAGCATGGCAGACAGTACTGTACAATCTTGGGTAGTATCAAGCACGCCATACTGTGAACTCACTTACTCAAGGCACTACTCCAGCTTAAAGCAGTCTGCAGCATGAGGTTACTCCCTTGTAACACATTTTGTGTTCTAGCAGGCAGTTTTGACCCAAACGGGCTAACAAAATGTGTACAAGCAAAAGTACTGGATTTGCTATAAGTAGACAAGTAATATCCCGCGTCCTAAGATAAAAGTTTTATGGCAGCTGGAATGTGCCCTCAAGAAAACAGGGTATAGATCGGCAGGAAATTAGATTGGCCGAAGTCCCTCAACGTTATTAAAGGCATCAAAAACATTACCTCAGCCTGAGAAAAATGACTAACAATTACTTGACTAGCAGGTGATATTTCATGATTTAGGATTATTAAGGAAAAAACACAACTACTGAAGAACTAGTGCCAACATAAGACACCAGAATCATTTCTCCAAAAGGCCTCCGCTATAACCATAAGCAGCCTACACAGGGTCAATGATCAGTATTCCCATTTTTTAGGAGCACATCCCTCATCTCCATTCCCCCAGTATCACTCTCTCCCATGGGACATGTCTGTACACCCATTAAATTACAGAGGGAAAGAAAGAGAAAAGGAAAATGAAACATCACCTTCTATGTTCTCAGGCACACAAGTGATCTGGGATACCAATTAAGAGACTTTACTGATTCACTTTTAGAATTATATATTTTAAATATTCAGCCACTTTAGAGAACAGTTTGCAGCAATCACTTCACAATTCAGAAGTACCAGGTTATAATTTAATTTTGGACTAAGAGTTTATGTTCAATATGTAAGGTTATTGGAACTCCTGAATTTTAAATAGCCTGTGAAACAGGTGATTCCTCTCCCTTCTGTAATGGCTTTTAAGAGTAAAGCAGTGGCTTTAAAAAAAAAATTCTAAGAAGCATAACAGAAATTGGCAATGTCCAATATAAAAACCGGACACTGTTATGCAGACCATCTTTCTGGTACAGTGAGTAGCCTCTGCCTGGAATAAAACTCTTAGGCCAGTGCCATTCTTCCTGAAGTCCGCATTAACTTCTTCTCTGCAAATGCTGTTTGGTAGTAAATAGCATGATTTATCAAGCATCTAAGGATTTCCCTGCACCAACATGGCACATACCTAGTTGACTTTCTCAAGCATTATAAAGACAGCCCCACAGCTAACAAATACTGACATATGTGAGCCATAGCACTTTCAGAAGAATGGACCAAACTGGCAATGCACAAACCCAGAAATGCTGGGGTTATGCCTGTAGTTACACCACTTAGTTCAGTTACAGCAAGGGCTAATTAGAGCACGTACTGAACTTAATAGCTTCATAAGGATGAAAATGTTTTATAAGTCATATACTTGACCTGATCAAGGGAAAGCCATCTTAGAAAAGTTTGAAGTTGGTTACAAAGTGTATCAGAGGAGAGTATGGCTGGCTTCGAACAAACCCACGCAGTCACGTCTGAACATAAATTCAACATACACATTCTAATGACAGCAATTTGGTTATATTATTTTCACAAACCAAAGAATACAGACTGCAAATTATTTCACAAATTAGATGATCAAATGAAAATGGACATGAAAGCATTATTCAGTAAATTATTATATACATATTTTTAGAAAGATGTGCTGTTTTTAAATAAATTTACATGATGAAATTTGGCGAAGAATAAACAAATCATTAACAATAAACCAGAAAATGTGGAAAACTTGGAGAAAGGCCCAAAGAATTAAAAATAGAACATATCTTTCTTTAGATTTGAAAATTAGGTGTATTTTATGCTTTTTAAAATGTGCATAAAGCAACTTTAGACTGCATTTAAACAGTTGGAGAAATCCAAAACATTTTATTTTATAAATATATACTGTGTGTGTATTTCCCTGGAGAAGGACGTCATGCTTGGTAGAGGGTCAGCAAAAAAGAGGAAGACCTTCCATGAGATGGACTGACACAGTGGCTGCAACAATGGGCTTAAGCATAACAACGACTGTGCGGATGGCACGGGACTGGGCAGTGTTTCGTTCTGTTGTACATACGGTTGCTGTAAGTCAGAACCAACTTTATGGCACCTAAGAACAACACATTACGTGGCTGGAGGCAACATTTGGGTAGCATAGAGGGATCCTATAGAAAGTTGTTGCTACCCTAAAATCTGTGATGGACAGCTAAAGATGGAGTGAATAAGGCATGGTAACACTTTGCGCAATTTATAGTAAGCACAACCTAAGAACCCAGCAACCAAACTCAGTTATCAAATAACGTTAAGTATAATGGATTGTTGTTTAGTTGAGGCTGGAAATGTTGAAGAAAACGAAAGCTGCAGCTACAGATTAAGTATTTTAGAAACAGTCAATCCATACTATTTTTCTTTAAGAAAAAATGGATGATTTTATTATATAAAATTATGATTGGCAGAATACAGAAAAAATTATTCCATGTTTACCTTTAGATATTTATTACAAGTACCAAGCAAAGTGTAATAACTGGAAGAACTCATTACAAACTACTAAAAAGTATTCATTTGGTGAAATTATTCAAGTTATAAAATGCTAATAAATGCACTTCAAAATACATGAAATGTAAAGCAAGATGAGAAAACAGATTATCTTAAATTAATGATTCTCTGATAAAAACCAACAAAATGCACAAAAATTGTGAAATTAGAAAAGAATAAATCAAATATATTGTTCACTTCAGATTACTAAACTAAAATCTTTTTTTAAAAAGTACTTAGGACTAAAAAAAAAAAAAAATTCCAATACTGTATTTTTTTTTCTACCAATAATACAAGGAAGGGTTTGGAGGCCAATTATGTGCTGCAGACCCAGGTATCTCTTGAAGCAATTACACTGAGGTCTTCTTGGTATGGACATACAAGCTTCACCATTACTCCAAGGTAAGAAAACTTACACATTATGAAGGAAAGAAAACAATGAACAATTATACCTACAATAGGGCAAAGAAATTATACATTAAAAGGATCAAATGCATCTCTATTATAAAACTAGAATAATCTGCTTTCAAAGAATTATTTTGTACTTTAGTAAATCAGGGCAAAAATTTTACTCTAATGAAAAGGCAAACTGGGAGGTCTCTGATAAGCTGGAATCTTCACAGGGGGGAAAAACTTAATCATTAAGTTCACAATCTATTTTAAAAATATAAAGTGATAAGTGAATAACATATGTATGAATCATATGCCAAACTACTGTATTCTGTACTTATGTACTTTTAAGCGCTAGTAATAAATATACTCAATTCACGCTATAAGAGCTAAAGAATTGAGACACTTAATTTCACATTTCAGAATTCCTGAGTCTTATCAGAGAAAAACAATACCAAGAAACAAAATAAACCTACTCAATAGTAGGGCAAAGAACACAAAGTTGGGCATTAAGTTAATATTATATTTATAGTTTTAAAGCTGAAGACTATGGGAACAAACATATATATGTACTTCAATAGAATTATAAATATGATTTTAAAGCTTGGTTTTTTAAAAAGGCATTTTGATCAAACAAGGCCACCTGAGTGACATCTTCAACGACAGTAAGTCCACCGTTTTTAAGGACTAACATCTTTATTCCAAAGCCTAATTATGAATATAAAAAGGAAGAAAAGTTTATTTTAATAAAAATGTTTTGTAAGATTGCAATGGGACAGCCCTTTGATGAAATACTTAAAAGAGGGTAAAGCCAATGTAACAGAATTAGAACATACGTTCTAATTTGAGCTACCACCCATTAATTTCCCTTTTGCTTTGCATATTACACAGTGAAAATCAAAAGGCATCTTAAGAGCACTTCAGTCCCACAATGTAGGATATAAGCTTGTGTAAATATATGTAAATGGCCCTGCAACAATGTGATGACTTGCAAAAATACATTCAACCAAAAGTTAATGTGTTTTCTAACTAGAAAGGAAAAGAGAAGCAAAGTGGTCCCACATAAAACAAAACAAAAACCACTGTTTACCTGTCCTGAAAGACTACAAAGCAAGGAACATCTAATAATATTATATACTTAAAATTGCATACTTTTACTCATACTAATAAGTAGGAAAGATGCATACAACTATACATGGACTTTATAAATAAAGACACTAAGCAGAAAAATATTTGGGTTATTTCTCTGTTCATAAGTACCCAGAAATAAAACAATTAAAAAATACTAAAGTGCAGACCTATAGGCCATTACAGGCATGATAAATGATAAAGAGGTGCAGCCAAAATTGCATCTACATATACATATCCAGAAAATGATTCTTGCTTTTAAAAAATTGTGCAATTTAACAACTGGTCAGTTTTGTTTGTGCCGTAATACAATCAGGACTTGTCTCTCTGCCCACTTGTCAAGTGTCTGCTAGACCTGGGACAGCCCACTAGGCTCTGGACAACCATACATTTCATTAGAATCATACAATATCGATGCCACCTCCAGAAAATGTTAGGGTCCTCTTGTTGTAGAATGAAGAGCCACTGGTATTTGGTTGATTGCCTTTAACCAGAGAGGTTTTCAGTTCCATTTCACAAGCTACAATAGCTGCATTCAATTCCACTTGAGCTCGATGAACTACATAAAACATGAGGCCTATACTTATAATAATCTGTGAATAAAAATAAAACACTACAGTTACTGATATTTTATAAGGAAAAAAAGAAGAAATAAATCCAACAGATATTTGACTTAGGAATGTTTTAAACAGGATGTTTCTCAAATACTGTCAAGTAAATAGTTTGCACACAGTTATCACTTATTCTTTCCTTGGCTGTTTCTCCTGGAGGTGGATGGCAAGATTCTACAGGTGACCATTATCTGGTATATGGTAATGTAAGGTAAATGCATATCCCTTTTGGTCCATATAAATTATGCTTACTTGATACAAGTTGTCACCTTATACCAAAAAGTCTCCTTCAAGGAATAAGAAAGGTCTACAACAGAGGTAACAGCTGGCTAAACTCTACTAGTACAATGAATGTAGTATTGTATCTGTGCACATATAAACGTCCACAGGCATTTCTAAGCCCACTTTGAGAAAAGAGAAGTGATACCATTTGCAAATGAACTACGTGGAGCAGATAAACTGAAGATAATAAGGATCACTTAAAGAAATGAATCAAGTGTCAATAAACTTCAAAAAGAAATAACAGGTGATTGTGAACATGAAATTGTGCTTGGGAAAAACAAAAACAAAAACGTAATCATGAGAAAAGCATCAAACTGAAACTCAGGTTCTAGTTCTGGTGATTTTACGAGATCTCTTAAACCACTCGGGCCTCAGTTTCTGATTGTTTAGTAGGAAGCTGTGGTTCCTTCGTGCTTTAATATTCTACATATAATTCATCAGAATATGTAAGCAGTCCATATCTTCTACATTATCTTTATTCAAAGTTCATTTGTAAAGCAGTTCTTCAGTAGAGTTTTGAGCAAATATTCTCAGGGAAACAAGGTTATAGCAAATATTGGAAAACTTAGGATAGAATCTTGAGGAACACAGGTTTAAAGGGGTGAAAGAGGAGGAGGTGCTGGTACACGAGACAGAAGCATAAGCCAGGCAAGTAAGGGAAAAAAAAATCAAGATAGTGGTGTCAAAGAAGTTAAGGAAAGACTATGTTTTAATAATAAATGCATGGTCAACAGAATCTTTTGTTGCTAAGAGGTCAAGTTAGATGAGGGCTGGAAAGTGCATCTGATTGAGACAAAGTTAGAGAGGATCTTAGAAAGCACAGCTTGAAGGGAGGATTGGGACAGGGACACAGAGAAAAGTTTAACCCCAGTGAAAAACTTTGGGCTTCCAAGCAAATCTGAATTAGCTAAACATCTTTACATAGACTTTATCCAAAATGCCCTTCTGGGCCCAGGGCCTGGCAATTTGTTAAACATCTTTACATAGACTTTACCCAAGATCCCCTTCTAGGCCCAGGGCCTGGCAATTTGTACTGGCTATCCCCCTACACATAGGAGCCCCAGTGGTGCAGTGGTCAGATGCTCTGCTAACTGAAAGGTCGGTGGTTGGAACCCACCACCACTCTGCAGGAGAAAGATGTGCAGTCTGCTTCCATAAAGACTTACAGCCTTGGAAACCCTGTGGGGCAGTTCTACTGTGTCCTATAGGGGTCGCTATGAGTCGGAATTGACAGCAATGGGTTTGGTTTTTTATCCCCCGATACATGCCCTTCCTTAGCCTAGTGAAGAACAAAAAAAGAAAAAGAAAAAGAGAGAAAGGGCAGTGTTTAAAAACTTAGAACAATGGAGCACAGTCATAACTCACTGTTAGGGCAGTGAAACTATTCTCTATGATACTGTAATGGTGGATATATGACATGATGCATTTGTAAAAACCAGTAGGACAATAACAATACAAGGAGTGAACCCTAATGTAAACTATGGACTTCAGTCACTAACAATTTATCAATATTAGCTCATCAACTGTAACAAATGTACCCGTGGAATGCAAGATGTTAATACTGGGAAAAACAGCGTGCAAGTGGCAGAGAGGGTACACGGGAACTTTGTATTTTCTGCAAACCTCAAACTGCTCTTAACAAAAAAAAGTCTATTAAAAAAAGAGAGAACAGTGAGTGTAGACATAGAACTTTAAAAAACTTTCCTGTTAAAATGAAAGAACTGAACACAGGTAGAAGAACATGTGTATGTAGGCATTTCTTCCACTGTTAATTCAAAAGCAGGCCCAGAGTGAATAGTGATTTCTTAGATGGGAAACTGAGCAGTTTCCCATTTGAAGGCTTCTAATTTTTCTGTTAAGCAAGAAGAGAGGAAGTCTGTTGGGATGAAAAGAGAAGCAGGAGAAGGAGTCTGAACGGTGACGAGAATGAAGACAGTTTGAGAAGACAAGGGAAAAAGATGGATTTGGGGGCAATGTTCAGAAACCAGCTGAAGGTTTATAACCTTCAGTGAAATATTACCAATCTGTTGGGTTGTATAACTTCCTCAAAAGAACAGGGGCAAAGCAAACCAAAACTTTGATTCACCCAGCCTGGGGTTTTGGTTGGTGATTACAGAAAAAAATACAGGGCATGGAAAAGAGTGACTGAATTGACAGATCATGGAATCTAACGTTGGATATGAGTACAAGAAATGTTGTGCTTCCTCTGAACAACTATTTTGCATTGCTTTAATTTTATGGGCATTGTGGGTTCTCACCTCTAACAAATATAAGGAACCTTATGTATACATGCACTTGACCTAAGCTTCATCCTTTTTCCCTATGCTGATTTTCCCCTTCAAAATGACTTCTTTTTTCCTTCTTTTTATTCTTCCATATATATTTGTAAGCTGCATTAAATCTTTCTGGAAACAAATTAATCTGTTATGTTGGTGGTGGTGTAGTGTGTCATCAAATCAATTCTAACATCAAACCTAGGCATAAATATCCCTTCACCTTTTTGTTCTTTGTAAATACCTGGGCTAAGAAATATTTGCCCTTTTCTACCTTGTCTTGTATCCTAAACTTAAATTTGTCAACTGGAAGAAAGGGGTAAGAAATGACCGAAAAACAACAAGATCCTATATTCTAAGAGGCACCACTGATGAAGGCATGCACTATTTCATTCTAACTCCATTAATCATAGCTAAATAATTTACTAAGATACATAAAAACATAAGGTTTGAAGTGGTAAAAATCCGCTGTAAGCTACTAACAATAAGGAACGCCAACTACTCAAACATAACGTCAAGGAAGAAAGGTTTCAAACGGATTACCTATTTTTAGGAAACTAGAAAAATATAAAATATGCTTAAATTTAAACTAAAAAAAATCTCTGAGAATGCAGAGGGTATGTCAGAATCTTACAGAACCTCAGGATTATATGTCATGTTGTAGATGTAATTCACAGAAAGCTTATTACATCATTAGCATGCTACATAAGTGAAAATCAATAACAGTAACTCTAAACCTAGATTCGAGTTTCCTAAAGAAAATATAGCTCTGAAAAACAATAGTAAAAATAAAAACGAACTCCCTGAATGTCAAAAATATTAAAAGTTTTCTTAATGTAAGCCCTTCTATTGACAAGTTTTATGTAAGCAATACCTCAATGTAAATATTCCCGGACTTTATTTATTAAACTTGTACAGCATAAGCACACAGAAAATTAACTCTGGTTCTATTTTATCACAGTATCACTGAAACACAATAACTTATAAATAATAATGCCTCAAAAACTTATGAATAATAATGCTACCAACAATTAAATTTTTAATTACAGTACCACATATTCAATAACAAAAATTAAAACTAACAAGGTAAGGGACCAACAGGTAAATTCTGTATGGCTATCTCAGTATTATCTGCTCAGCAGACCACAGTATACTGGTTGTGAGTATGGTCTCTAGAGCCAACTGCCTTGGTTCAAATCCCAGTTCTGCCACTATGGATAAGTTACTATCCAGTAGTGTTCTCGTAAACCAGCTTGTGAGAGGCAGGGGTAGAGGGGCTTGATTTCTAGCATTTGCCAACTTCCATGGTGTAAACATTCCTGCCTTGGCATTTCAAGCTACCAGCATGATGTCACTGAACACAGAGTTGGGAAGAGATGCACATCATTGGTTACCTCTTAGGGTTGTGGTAAGGATTAAAGAGCTTACATATGTGGCACATAATGCACTCAATAAAGCTTAACTATCATCATCATCTTACTAACTCCTCAAAAATTATGGTGATTTGGGGTAAATCTCAGGAATAAAATGTAACCTATTAAACAAATTTTTATTTAACTTTTCCTGCATGCAATTTACAGGCAATGAGTAAATTTGCTTACATAGCAGTATTTTGCTCTTTTATCAATCTCTTATATGGAACTGTGTGCATCCCAAACTATGTTACAATTATAGTAATAATCATCCTTTACATAATCATATTTGGATTTGCAATGGGATGCTTTAGACATTTTTCAGAAAGCAATACTTTGTAAAACAAATTTTTTGTACTACATCAAATTACACTAACACCGTAAAAAAACCTAATATTTAAAAAAAAGAAGTTTCAATAATACAAAGACAAATATTCCCGCTAAGATAAAAACCCAGTCCCATCAAATCTCACTAAAATTATCTCCGTATAACACGTCACATAAAGTCAAAATAGAGTATCTAATTTAGCGTTGACTTTGAAAATGATCACTGGAAAAAGGACTCCATTTTTGGCATTCCTTTTTTTGGGTTTCTTTGTTTTTGTTTAAGAGAATTTTCGATAAGAATTAATTCAGTTCTAGACTCTTTCATATATCCACACAATAATCTGTCAGGTTTAAATCAGCAATGCAATACAAAAAAAAACAACTCGTGGCCTTAAACTCACCTGTAAACAAAAAACAAAATATCCACTAACACTCTGTTCTGCAATGACATCTTCCATTGTCCGCAGGGTGGTACCCAAGTAAGAATTCAGAAGCTGAGTAGGAAGCAGTCCAACCGAAGATGCCATCAGATAGTTGGGTAATGAGAGATCAGTAATCTAGAAGAGTAGATTAAAGGAAATGATTCATTACCGAGTACAATTTCAATTTAATAAATAAAACTGTATAAGTCTTGCCTGTGGCTTTCCATTGGGAGTGGAGGGAGCTGATATACTTTACAAAACATTCTCATTTTTCAAAATGATTATAAAGGTAATACATGCAGAATGTACAAAATTTAGAAAAAACTGAAAGACAAATTCTAATATTCTATTGTTCTACAACTGAAAGATAACTTTTATGGCCATCTTTTATTTTTCTTGCATGTAAATAAAACACAAACACAACACACAGATCACATTGTAAAAACAGTTTTGTAAGTTTTTCTCATATCATCAAATATTCTTCATAAGCATACTTAAAATGGCAATGTGGTCACTGGGCTCTGAAGCCAGATAACTGTGAGATGACATTCCAGTGCTGAGAACTCAATGAGCCTGAGAAAGCTACTCTATGTCTCTAAGCATCAGGTTCTTCGTCTGTAAAATGAGGATATATCCATCACCTTACAAGGTTGTTGCTAAAACTAAAAAACCAAACCCACTGCTGTTGAGTCGATTCCGACTCATAGTGACCCTATGGGACAGAGCAGAACTGCCCCACAGAGTTTCCAAGGAGTGGCTGGTATATTTGAACTGTCAACCTTTTGGTTAACAGCCATACCTCTTAACCACTGAGACAAAGGTTGTTGTTAGGATCAGAAGTACTTGTAAAGTATCTAGCAAATGCCTAGCACATGAGAGAAACTCAAAAAAAAGACAGAAATTATCATTACTGCACAAATATACCACGGTATGGAATTTAACTATTCCACCAGTTTAATTGTGCTGTGGAATAGTTAAATTCCTCATTTACTTCTTTGTGTATATGCAATTACATATTTATTTTTTGATGTTATATTAAAAAAAATGATGAAAACCTTTGTATATTAATCTATAAGGTAGGCAGCATCAGAAATATTCCCAATGACCCCACTACCTGGTATTCATGGCCTTGTATAGTCCTTTAGCCTTGAGTCTGGGCTGGACCTAGTGCTTGCTTCTAGCAAATCGAATACAGTAGAATTGATAAAAAGTCACTTCCAAGATTAGGTTACAAAAAGACTGAGACTTCCACTTCACTCACTCCCTCTCAAGCAAGCTGCCATGTTGTGAGTAATTCTATGCAGAGGCCCATGTGGCAAGGAACTAAAATCTTTAGCCAACAGCCACACAAGTGAGCTTGGAAGTGGATTCTCCCCAACTCAAGCCTTAAGACGTAGAAGTAGGGGTCAAGGGACAACTTTGTGGGGAAAGAGACATTTAAAATGGGACACTGAAGGCTAAACACGGTTTTGGCAGGCAAAGATCTGTGGGATGAGGAAGGCAGGGTGTCTAGGAAGAGAATGAACAAGGTCAATGTGGTAAGGAAAATACAGGGTGTTTTAATGAAGTTGGCAGTATGCTCTGTATTGTTTATATTGCACATGCAAGGGAGTCCTATAAAACAAAGACAGGAAAACTAGTCAGGATGCAAAGCTTCTGTCCATAGCCTTTAAATGTAATGAAGTTTCCCTAAACAGAACACATAACTGACCTTCACGGATGACATCAATAATATCCAAATGGCTATCTTAGGAACACATTTCATAAATCTGAAATTACTCTCCTATGCAACTCTTTAAAAAGACTGTTACTGAAGTTTATCAAACTTTTCATGACCAAATCTCGTCCGGGGAAAAAGCAAGTGTTATTACTTCTACATGTTTCTTTTCTGAAAAACTGTGTATCTAAAGAAAGCAAATAACGAATTTCAGCTAACAACTGCAAACAGTTTTGCTGAAGTGTTGTTGAAGCTTTCTATTCAGACTCCCTCTCTACAGTCTTGTTATCCAGACCCACCCTTTACTCACCACCTATACTAAATCCTGTGGAATATTTTTAAAAATACAAACCTAAATCTGCTTAAACCACTTCCACTTCCATGAGAATGAGGTTCAACTTCTTCAACACGCAGAGTGCTTCATGCTCTGGCCTCTGTCTCATGTTTCACCTCACACTATGTTCCAGCCACATCAAAATTCTCAGTTCCCTGAGCCCGGAAGAACTAGACGGTGCCTGGCTACTACCACCAACAGCTCTGACAGGGATCACAACAGAGGGTCTCGGACAGAGCAGGAGTAAAACATAGAACAAAATTCAACTTCACAAAAAAAGGCCAGACTTACTGGTCTGACAGAGACTGGAGGAACTCCCGAGACTATGGCCCCCGGACATGCTGCTAACTCAGAACTGAAGCCACTCCTGAAGTCTACCTTTCAGCCAAAAATTAGACAGGCCGATGAAACAAACAATAACACAAGTGAGGAATGTGCTTCTTAGCTCAATCAAGTATACGAGCCTAAACGGGCAACACCTGCCCAAAAGCAAAGACAAGAAGGCAGGAAGGGACAGGAAAACTGGACCAATGGACATGGGGAACCCAGGATGGAAAGGGAAAGGGGGAGAGTGCTTACACATTGAGGGGATTGCAACCAATGTCACAAGACAATTTGTGTATAAATTTTTGAATGAGAAACTAATTTGCACTGTAAACATTCACCTAAAGCACAATAAAATTAAAAAAGTTCCGAATCTAGAACCCCTGAATAATTTGCCATACTAAATCAAAATAAAATTTCTGCTAAACTTTAAAAAAAAAAAATTCTCTGTTCATAGAATGCTCCTTGCTCTCTTTTCCTTCTGGGCCTTTGTATGTTGTCCCATTTGGCGAGGACACTCACTCCCTTCCTCCTACTCACTACTCAGCCATTAATTCCTCTAAGAAATCCTCCCTGACCCCCGCAAGCCTGCATAAGAACACTATGTGCCCGTCTTCTTTCACACTAGAGAGTAAATGAAGTTTTCATTATCTGCTGCCCCTCACTTCTTCCCCAGCCGATGAGTTCTGTGAAGGAAAGGACCTTATCTGTCTTGTTCTTCAGTGTCTCTTGTCCTTATCATGATGCCTACTATATGTGCGGTGTGAAATACATGTTGATTGGATGCTGAATGCATCAACATCAAAATTGAAGTTTTGTTTATAAATCTGAAGACTAAAAATAGTTGCCAGTTTATAATTACAAGTTAATTTGTAAGTGGCTGTTCAGAAATTGAGAACATCTTTCCTTTCCCTACAGAAATAATATTATAAATGGAAATAACTTCAATATCAGCAAAATTTAAGCCATGACACAGCTAGAATGCTATTAGAATTTATTTCTCCACTAGACTCAAATGCCTTGAGGGATGAAGGATGGACTGCTTTATTCACCATTGTATCTCGGCACCTATAACAGCAGCAGGCACATAACAGACATACACCAGTTACCTGCAAGTGAAGAGTGAATGAATACTAAAAGCATCCCTAGTAAGCTCTAATATCAACCTCAGAGAAATTATGCCAAGGCTAAGACCCTCTGGTCAGGCAGCAACCCTGAGAGTACTGGGAAGTTTTGCTGCTGGGAGGTAGAAAAAGAACAAAGCAGGCTCTGAGCGATCCCCTCTAACACTGAGTAAGGGCTTCACCATAGGGAAGCTTCTACTAATGGAGACAGTTCAGTCAGTAAGTCTGCTTTCAATGCAGAGGGGCAGCAACGATTTTCATATATACAGATTTTCTCATTAGTTCAGTGTTCTGAAGTTAGGAACTGCCTTTAATGGCTCCTAAATATTTGGGAGGTCACAGACCGATTTGCGAATTTGATTAAAACATACATACATACACACACAGAGTGAATATTCTCTCCAAATAAATATACATCTTATTTTGCATAATTTCTAGACCATCAGTTGAAAAGAGCTTCCTTATACAGTTATGACAAACTACAGGTTTATGGTTTTCACTCATTAAACAAAAATACATCAGATGCCTATTATATATAAGGCCCAGGTCTAAACAGGATCACTGTGTAGTCACCATAAATCATGTTGCAGAACAATAACAAAAATTTTCTCTATATCAAGTAAAAAAAGATTACAAAGATCACTTGTAACATTTACTCATAATGCTATATTCGAAAAAGCATAAATTAACAAATGAAAACACTGGAAAAATAAACACTAAGGTGTTAACAATTGTTTTCTTTGTATTTGCTATACTTTTCAAAATGTTTATAATGAACACTTATTTGGTATTTTGTAGGCATAAAAAAAATTGGTAAAAATAAGTTTTAATAATACCACTCGGCCTTTAAAGAAATGTTTTTTTCTAGGAGGGGTAATGAGACATTCTGTATACATGTTACTGGGATACAATGAGCTACAGATACAGCTTTCTGAATCATAAGCCTGTACATGGCACATGAAAACTACAGAAGCTGATGAGATAAAAAGGCACAAGGAAGTAATGGTCAACTGTGCTCAGTGGTATTTTGAGGTCTAAGGACGTGGGCTGAGATCGCATTCAACATGTCAACTTGGTCATGATATTTGACCCTCCAGAGTCAGACTCCAAGCTCCTCCAAAGGACACACTGTGTCTCTCTGACTTGCTATTATGCCTGGACTACACCACTGGCAGCAAATCATACTAAGATGAAACACTGGCAAAGTAACAAGTATTATGGCTCATCATCTATTATCTAAATCTATGACTATATCCATAGCACAGAATAAGAATTTAAGAAGAAAAAATTATTTTTATAAAAAACAGCATTGCTGAACTGTTAAAATTAAAATATTAAACTGTTAAGAACATTTGCCTTTTTAAAAGCAAACTCTTTGAGACCTTGTCCAACCCCCTCATTTTGTAGATGAGAAAACCAGAGGCCAGAAGGATTAAATGACGCCACCTAGGTCATACAGGAGCTGAGACCCAACTAGAAGTCCCCAAAGATTCCCTGAGGCTAAGACTTTATAATAGTGGCCCTACAGTCACTAGCCAGTCAAAACCTTCTACTTAATTGCAATGGATTTCAATTCAATTGTGCTCTAAATTTCTAAAAGTAATTTACGTTTTTCTTGATAGCTCAACAACTCTAA